CTGGCTGCACGCAAACCAACGTACGAGCCACAGCCCGGCTGATCTGGAACTGACTTTAGGTGCTTGTCCAGTGCCAGCTTGAAGACTGCCAGGGGTCTGTTGGTAATCCCCCTTATGTGTGCTGGGAGGCAGTTGAACAGTCTCGGGCCCCTGACACTTATTGTATGGTCTCTTAACGTGCTAGTGACACCCCTGCTTTTCATTGGGGGGATGGTGCATCGTCTGCCAAGTCTTTTGCTTTCGTAGTGAGTGATTTTCGTGTGCAAGTTCGGTACTAGTCCCTCTAGGATTTTCCAGGTGTATATAATCATGTATCTCTCCCTCCTGCGTTCCAGGGAATACAGGTTTAGGAACCTCAAGCGCTCCCAATAATTGAGGTGTTTTATCTCCGTTATGCGCGCCGTGAAAGTTCTCTGTACATTTTCTAGGTCGGCAATTTACCTGCCTTGAAAGGTGCTGTTAGTGTGCAGCAATATTCCAGCCTAGATAGAACAAGTGACCTGAAGAGTGTCATCATGGGCTTGGCCTCCCTAGTTTTGAAGGTTCTCATATCCATCCTGTCATTTTTCTAGCAGATGCGATTGATACAATGTTATGGTCCTTGAAGGTAAGATCCTCCGACATGATCACTCCCAGGTCTTTGACGTTGGTGGTTTCGCTCTATTTTGTGGCCAGAATTTGTTTTGTACTCTGATGAAGATTTAATTTCCTCATGTTTACCATATCTGAGTAATTGAAATTTCTCATCGTTGAACTTCATATTGTTTTCTGCAGCCCACTGAAAGATTTGGTTGATGTCCGCCTGGAGCTTTGCAGTGTCTGCAATGGAAGACACTGTCATGCAGATTCGGGTGTCATTCTGCAAAGGAAGACACGGTGCTGTGGCTGACATCCTTGTCTATGTCGGATATGGGATGAGGAACAAGATGGGAGCGAAGTACTGTGCCTTGTGGAACAGAGCTTTTCACCGTAGCTGCCTCGGACTTTACTCTGTTGACGACTACTCTCTGTGTTCTGTTAGTGAGGAAATTATAGATCCATCGACCGACTTTTCTGTTATTCCTTTAGCACGCATTTTGTGCGCTATTACGCCATGGTCACACTTGTCGAAGGCTTTTGCAAAGTCTGTATATATTACATCTGCATTCTTTTTGTCTTCTAGTGCATTTAGGACCTTGTCGTAGTGATCCAATAGTTGAGACAGACAGGAGCGACGTGTTCTAAACCCATGTTGCCCTGGGTTGTGTAACTGATGGGTTTCTAGATGGGTGGTGATCTTGCTTCTTAGGACCCTTTCAAAGATTTTATGATATGGGATGTTAGTGCTATTGGTCTGTAGTTCTTTGCTGTTGCTTTACTGCCCCCTTTGTGGAGTGGGGCTATGTCTGTTGTTTTTAGTAACTGTGGGACGACCCCCATGTCCATGCTCCCTCTCCATAGGATGGAAAAGGCTCGTGATAGGGGCTTCTTGCAGTTCTTGATGAACACAGAGTTCCATGAGTCTGGCCCTGGGGCAGAGTGCATGGGCATGTCATTTATCGCCTGTTCGAAGTCATTTGGCGTCAGGATAACATCGGATAGGCTTGTGTTAATCAAATTTTGTGTCTCTCTCAAAAAATTCATTTTGATCTTCGACTCTCAGTCTGGTTAGCGGCTCCCTAAAAACTGAGTCATATTGGGACTTGAGTAGCTCACTCATTTCCTTGCTGTCATCTGTGTAGGACCCTAGGTGTAAGGAAACATGCCAAACGTTTCCACCCGTACCGTGGATTGAACCACGGATACTGTGAGAGGCGAGAGCGTTGTCAACCGAACCAAGGTTAGTCAAAGTTCTGCAGGTATCGAAGAACCTTAAGATTCCTCCAATGGAAAGTTCTTTGATAGCGGTGAGGGGGGGGGCTCTTAACTCAAGGAATTGGACTTGATATTCCCCCTCCTTGAGCCCGGTGGCCTGGTGGCTAAAGCTCCCGCTTCACACACGGAGGGCCCGGGTTCAATTCCCGGCCGGTGGAAACATTCCGACACGTTTCCTTACACCTGTTGTCCTGTTCACCTAGCAGCAAATAGGTACCTGGGTGTTAGTCGACTGGTGTGGGTCGCATCCTGGGGGACAAGATTAAGGACCCCAATGGAAATAAGTTAGACAGTCCTCGATGACGCACTGACTTTCTTGGGTTATCCTGGGTGGCTAACCCTCCGGGGTTAAAAATCCGAACGAAATCTTATCTTATCTTATCTTAACCTGATTGCCACCTATTTCCAAGGTGCTGTATGGGTGTAGCGCTTCCCCTAAAGATAATAATGAGGTTTTTTGTAGGACAATGAATAGGAATCGGGAAATTTATGGGAGGAGATGGGAGGGAGATTTCACTGAGGGTTACAGGTCCATCACTGTTGGGGAGTTGCTAGAGTTGTGAGGGGGGGGGGAAAGTGGGTTTAGATTGTTGTGTAAGGCATTCGATAAAAAAGGGGGGGGGGGTACCAAACGGGCTTGCCAAACGAAAGATGTTGGTTTGGTGTGCATGTGCGTGGGTGAGTGATAAGTGCAAGAGAGAACGATTGTGTGTAATTGGGATGTGCATGGGAGTGCTGAGTTCATGCGTTCTTAGTGTTATTTAATATTGTTAATTAATGCCTTGGGGCCTAGTTCCTAGGCCTTTTGTGTATCCATATGCTCTCGCGCTACCGTCCACAGGATGGATATGGGGTGCACAATAAACTAGCCACTTCGGTGGCAAAATCTAAATCTGCTGAAGGCTATCGTAATAGCGTATAATAGTAGAAGTCTAAGAATGCTGCATGGGACAGCAATAAAGATAGGATTTGACTCCCATTGTAAACTAATTCAGTTTATAATGTATATATATACATATGTATATATAAATAATGTTAGGACAGCAGCTGTCATTTCACTACTGTAGAGTTGTTATTGTTTTCAATACGTATATGTTCTTAAGTTTAATTTAGTATGGTTAGTTTATAAGTTAAATAAACAACGGTGAAACGCTGTACATTTTGGTGAGCTGGGGTAAATAGGGGGGGGGGGTATACTGCTTGCATTTTTTGCGGCATGTAATTACTGTGTGTGTATATTGAAATTAGCAGTCGGGAAGGAGTAAGAGGATTCTTTATTTTGTATTACTTGAATAGTTATATTTTGTTGTAATGAATTATGTATATGGCAGTATTCACCTATCAGCTGCATGAAGTGTATATATTTCACATATTACTGCATATTGCAGTGTATAGAAATTGATGAATTTATATTGTCTGTCGATGCTCTCATACTGTATGCTTTTGTTAATGTATTGTACGTTATAAATAAAATATAAAAAAAAGTTACTAAAAACAACAGACATAGCCCCACTCCACAAAGGGGGCAGTAAAGCAACAGCAAAGAACTACAGACCGATAGCATTAACATCCCATATCATAAAAATCTTTGAAAGGGTCCTAAGAAGCAAGATCACCACCCATCTAGAAACCCATCAGTTACACAACCCAGGGCAACATGGGTTTAGAACAGGTCGCTCCTGTCTGTCTCAACTATTGGATCACTACGACAAGGTCCTAAATGCACTAGAAGACAAAAAGAATGCAGATGTAATATATACAGACTTTGCAAAAGCCTTCGACAAGTGTGACCATGGCGTAATAGCTCACAAAATGCGTGCTAAAGGAATAACAGGAAAAGTCGGTCGATGGATCTATAATTTCCTCACTAACAGAACACAGAGTAGTCGTCAACAGAGTAAAGTCCGAGGCAGCTACGGTGAAAAGCTCTGTTCCACAAGGCACAGTACTCGCTCCCATCTTGTTCCTCATCCTCATATCCGACATAGACAAGGATGTCAGCCACAGCACCGTGTCTTCCTTTGCAGATGACACCCGAATCTGCATGACAGTGTCTTCCATTGCAGACACTGCAAGGCTCCAGGCGGACATCAACCAAATCTTTCAGTTGGCTGCAGAAAACAATATGAAGTTCAGCGATGAGAAATTTCAATTACTCAGATATGGTAAACACGAGGAAATTAAATCTTCATCAGAGTACAAAACAATTCTGGCCACAAAATAGAGCGAAACACCAACGTCAAAGACCTGGGAGTGATCATGTCGGAGGATCTCACCTTCAAGGACCATAACATTGTATCAATCGCATCTGCTAGAAAAATGACAGGATGGATAATGAGAACCTTCAAAACTAGGGAGGCCAAGCCCATGATGACACTCTTCAGGTCACTTGTTCTATCTAGGCTGGAATATTGCTGCACACTAACAGCACCTTTCAAGGCAGGTGAAATTGCTGACCTAGAAAATGTACAGAGAACCTTCACGGCGTGCATAACGGAGATAAAACACCTCAATTACTGGGAGCGCTTGAGGTTCCTAAAACTGTATTCCCTGGAACGCAGGCGGGAGAGATACATGATTATATACACCTGGAAAATCCTAGAGGGACTAGTACCAAACTTGCACACGAAAATCACTCACTACGAAAGCAAAAGACTTGGCAGACGATGCACCATCCCCCCAATGAAAAGCAGGGGTGTCACTAGCACGTTAAGAGACCATACAATAAGTGTCAGGGGCCCGAGACTGTTCAACTGCCTCCCAGCATACATAAGGGGGATTACCAACAGACCCCTGGCAGTCTTCAAGCTGGCACTGGACAAGCACCTAAAGTCGGTTCCTGACCAGCCGGGCTGTGGCTCGTATGTTGGTTTGCGTGCAGCCAGCAGCAACAGCCTGGTTGATCAGGCTCTGATCCACCAGGAGGCCTGGTCACAGACCGGGCCGCGGGGGCGTTGACCCCCGGAACTCTCTCCAGGTAAACTCCAAGTAAACAACCTGCCATGTTCATTTAATTCCGAGTTCTCCTGAAGAAACAACCTGCCGTGTGTATTTATTGCTCAGTTATCTTGTGGATGACTTACCATCGTTCGTGTATTCCCCAGTTATCTTTTAGATATGGCCTGAAATGTTGATTTGTTCCCCAGAGTGAGTGAGTTGCTGGCGGTAGTAAGTTTGACGTCTACTTGTATGTTGTTCCTGCACACCAGCCACTTACAGGCCCAGCTGGCGATATACACCAACCATTTGGACCAGGCCACAGCACCACACAACCAACAGCGTAAGTCATATATTTTAATCATGAAGAATAAGTCACAATACCGTGGCTGGAACGGTTCACAGTTAACCCACTAATTCGATGTAAAAATTGAACGGTTCACTCATTATACCTATGAGGTAGCATAAACCCATAGGTCAAACAGCGCGCCTTGAAGAAGTAAAAAATCAGTGAGTCTATTTAGGTACAGGTACACAAGTGCAATTATCATATATAGCAATGTATAAATTATCTAGGATAACCCTCCAAAAAAGTCTTGTTTCCATTGGGGTCCTTGGCTTAATTTTCTCGGTTCAAGAGAGCTTCGGCAGATAGTTTGTTCATCCAAGACCACCACAAACCTTCACTTAGGAACCATATGACGACGTATCGGTCCGTCCTGAACCATTGTCAAGTCACAACTGAATGAGAAAGGTAGAAAAGGCCAAAAGACAGAACGGGAAGAAGAAAGTAATAATGGTAGTGCAGCAGTGGTGAAGGTAATAAAAAGGAAGTAACAACAGCAGTACTGAGGGTATTACAAATGATAGAAGTAACAGTAAAGTGTAGTAGTAGTGGTGAAAGAATTAATAATAGGGGTAGTGTAAGAGAAGGGGAACATTGTATGAGAGCTACTGGCCCACAGGCGAGGCAGAATCCCTAATGGACAAAACCCAGCACAGCAAAAGATAGGAAAGGTAAAGAAAATACAGAAGACGGATGAAAGGGAGAGGAGGGGGAGCAAAGATCAGGTCAGCTCACGAATGTTCTGAAATTTAGAGCAAATGTGAACAATAATGAAGAAGGCAGTCCATTACAGAAACAAATACTTCTAACCATCTTCGATTGCTCGAAGAAGAGTAGATAATTTTAGCTGAGGACCAGTTAATAGGATGGCAGCGATCCTTGACATGACAGAAAAGAGCATTGTTAGTATGGCAAGGTGAACACTTGTGTTTTTTAAATCTCAGACAGGGAGTGGCCAGTAGTATCACCTAAGCACGTATTGGAAAAAACGGGAGGAACAAGAAATAGAGTAGATAACTAAAGCATCAGGGGAAGATGCAAAATAAACTAGCCACTCAGGCAGCTAGTTTACTGTATAGTCTACAAATGCACTGTATTGGTTGTCCTTTAGCTGATAAACAGTGATGCTTATTTATTGTGTTAGGTTAAATTAATGTAAGTCATTTACATTGAAGTATAGTACTATACGAAATTTATTAATATCATGAATGCATTGAAATGCACAGATACCTTTACCCAAAATTGGTATACTGTATAGCCCTTACGGAGGTTAGTTTTTTGGATTTTTTCATTATATATTTCAATAAGACAATACTGCTGATATATGGTTCCCGAATTTTACTGCTAGATGAGCAGGGATGTAAGGAAATTTTCATTTCGTGGACGGGAGAGGGGCGCAAAATCCCAAAAGTCATACAGCACTTTGATAAATGGGAGGCAGTCAGATTCAGTCCAATAAAAGGCCGGGTGGTTCTATTTCTTCAGATCAAGAGCCTTTCACCGGCATCAGAGTTGTTAGGAAAATTTCAGAACGTTTCCTATATGTATGTACAGTATATATGAGGTATGATCGTAACATGTTTTTTTTAAAAGCCACACAGGTAGGCAAAATTGTATAATGGATTGTTATTTTATACGAAAACAAGTGCCTAACCCGTATGGGTTGTATAACCTAATTTGTCTGTATAAATAACTCATTACGATTTTAACCAGTTATAAACATGTAAATAGTTTATTACCATTGTAACTTGTTCATCTATCAAAACTTTACGGCCCAGTTCCTGGACCCATTATGTACCTCTGTAATCTTTTGACTGCAAATTACATGTTCTTTATTTCGGTATGATACAATGTTTGTACAGGGATCAGTGACCAAATATATACGGTCTAGAGTGGTTTTAACAATAAACACTTGGATACGGGGTGCATAATAAATATATTAAACTAAAACTCTTATAACTGTAATGGAAAAATGTTGCTTTCTTCAGACTATTCGGATTTGGACACGGGAGAGCAACGAGGTAATAGTGGTGGAGGTGCTGGAGGCAACAATGACCTCTATTCACGAAGAAAACTTAAATTCGGTGGCTACAATCTGGAGGAATTTCGAAATGTGAGTACAGTATTCGAGTCCACTTTGTATTCATTTGTGAGTATGGGGTAAAAGGTATGTTAAAATACTCCATAGCTTTGATTTAATGTAATTATTTGTAGGGATTTCTGTGACTGTACATGGTCCAAGTCGGACCGAAACGTCTTCGTAAGCTCCTCTCTATGTGCGAGTTATTTGTGTTTCATTTCCTTGCTGTCATCTGTGTGGGGCCCATCTCGTCCAAGTAGGGGCCCAATACTGGATGTTGTTCTCGACTTAGATTTGGCATAAGAAAAGGAATATTTTGGGTTTCTTTCAATTTTATTTATGGCTTTTAGTTCTTCCAGCATTTCTTGACTCTTGTAAGATTCCTTTAGCTTAAGTTCGATGTTTGCTATTTCTCTGACCAGTGCCTCCCTTCTGCATTTACATATACGTATAGATAAGTACACACATGCACACTTTCTCTCTCTCTCTCTCTGTCTCTCTCTCTGTCCTCTCTCTGTCTCTGTGTCTCTCTGTCTCTCTCTCTGTCTCTCTCTCTGTCTCTCTGTCTCTCTCTCTGTCTCTCTCTCTGTCTCTCTCTCTGTCTCTCTCTCTGTCTCTCTCTCTGTCTCTCTCTCCTCTCTCTCTGTCTCTCTCTCTCTGTCTCTCTCTCTCTCTCTCTCTCTCTCTGTCTCTCCTCCTCTCTCTCTCTCTGTCTCTCTCTCTCTCTCTCTCTCTCTCTCTCTCTCTCTCTCTCTCTCTCTCTCTCTCTCTCTCTCTCCACACACACACACACACACACACACACACACACACACACACACACACACACACACACACACACACACACACACACACACACTCACACTCACACACACTGACGGAAGAAATAGACTCCGAAGTGTCCCTGTTTTGCAGATGATGTGAAGTCGATGAGAAGAATTTAATCTGACGAGGACCAGGCAGAACTACAAAGGGATCTGGACAGGCTGCAGGCCTGGTCCAGCAATTAGCTCCTGGAATTCAGCCCCACCAAGTGCAAAGTCATGAAGATTGGGGAAGGGCAAACAAGACTGCAGATGGAGTACAGACTAGGGGCCAGAGACAGCAAACCTCACTCAAGAAAAAAAATCTTGGGGTGAGTATAACACCAGGCACATCTCCTGAAGCGCACATCAACCAAATAACTGCTGCAGCATATGGGCGCCTAGCAAACCTAAGAACAGCATTCAGACATCTTAATAAGGAATCGTTCAGGACACTGTACATTAGGCCCATATTGGAGTATGCGGCACCAGTTTGGAACCCACACCTAGCCAAAGTTTGCAACAAGACCAATCCCAGAGCTAAGGGGTATGTCCTATGAGGAGATGTTAAAGGAAATCGACCTGACGACACTGGAGGACAGTCACAAGACTCAGAGGGAAAATTCCTAGGTATCCACCTTGACAGTAGCCTTAAGTTCTGGGCACACATACAACAAATCACCAAGAAAATCTCCAAGACTGTAGGCATACTATCAAAGATAAGGTACTACATTCCACAATCAGCTCTCCTGGCACTGTACCATTCACTCATATACCCTTATATTACATATGGAATTTGTGCATGGGGATCAACAACATCCAATCACCTAAAACCCCTAATAACCCAGCAAAAGGCAGCAGTAAGAATGATAACAAATTCCCACTCCTGCCAGCATACTCCACCAATTTTCAAAAGTCTGAATCTGCTCACCATTAAGAACATCATACTTATTCATATGCCTACTACTTACACAGAATACACACAAATATAAACCCCCCCACTCAAACTTCTCACCAACCTAAACTGGACACATGACCACAACACAAGACACAGATCTCTTTTTGATATACCTCGTGTCCATATCACACTGTGTAAAAACTCTATGCACATAAAGGGCCCCAAAATATGGAATTCATTACCAGAAGATATTAAAGTAACGCAGTCTGAAAATCAATTTAAGACTTCTCAAAAGCCACTTATCACCCTAGACTAAATGCTAAATACTCAGTACACACTTACTCACCTATGTACTCCCACATCATAACTGAAACAATCACATTGAACCTTTTATCCATTGTTGACAGGAATATAATTGAATCATTGTTTTCACAAGAGCATTTTAGAATATAAATATATCTTTTATAGGTAGTAGGTTGGTAGACAGCAACCACCCAGGGAGGTACTACCGTCCTGCCAAGTGAGTGTAAAACGGAAACCTGTAATTGTTTTACATGATGGTAGGATTGCTGGTGTCCATTTTTCTGTCTCATAAATATGCAAGATTACAGGTAAGTCTTGCTACTTCTACTTACACTTAGGTCACACTACACATACATGTACAAGCACATATATACACACCCCTCTGGGTTTTCTTCTATTTTCTTTCTAGTTCTTATTCTTGTTTATTTCCTCTTATCTCCATGGGGAAGTGGAACAGAATTCTTCCTCCGTAAGCCATGCGTGTTGTAAGAGGCGACTAAAATGCCGGGAGCAAGGGGCTAGTAACCTCTTCTCCTGTATATATTACTAAATGTAAAGGGAGAAACTTTCGTTTTTCCTTTTGGGCCACCCCGCCTTGGTGGGATACGGCCGGTGTGCTGAAAGAAAGAAGAAATATATCTTTGTATTATACAAATTTTGATTCATTTATAATTAATATTCTACTGTACAACTATGAAATAATTACTATCTTACTGTACAACTATGATATACTCCTTAGTATTAAGTAGACTGTAAGCCAGTAATGATAAGTTGGCCCATAATGCCTAGGCATAATAGAGGCTCTTTGCATTGCAACCCACTATTGTAAATACAAAATCTCAATGTACTGTTTGCAAAGACATAAAATAAATAAACAAATAAAATAAGGGGGATATGATGATAACATATAAAATACTGAGAGAAACTGACAAAGTGGACAGAGACAGAATGTTCCAGAGATGGGACACAGCAACAAGGGGCCACAGAAGTTGAAGACTCAAATGAATCACAGGGATGTTAGGAAGTATTTCTTCAGTCACAGAGTAGTCAGGAAGTGGAATAGTTTGGGAAGCGATGTAGTGGAGGCAGGATCCATACATAGCTTTAAGCAGAAGTATGATAAAGTTCATGGTGCAGGGAGAGTGACCCAGTAGTAGCCAGTGAAGAGGCAGGGCCAGGAGCTATGAATCGACCCCGGCAACCACAACTAGGTGAGTACACACACAATTAGTACTACTACTACTACTACACTCTCTCTCACCCAATACATGTATGTACGTGAGTATTTCATTGTAAAATGAGTTGTCATACATTTTTGCCTTCACTGATTTTGCATAAGCTACAAACTGCATGATGAATAGACATTAAAGTGCATGTTTCACTTTAGTAGTTTTATCGAGTCTTTCAAGCTACTAACATTTTAAAGAAAAATTACAATTTCACCATGTGTATTACTACAATTTGTGGTAATTTGCTTGTTAACTCATCACAGATTGACCCCATGACCCTGAACAACACTGTTAATCACCAAAAGATGACGTTAGTGTTCAATCGTGTTCCGAAAGTTGGGAGCCAGAGCACAATGGAGCTACTACGGACCCTAAGCTACAGAAATGGCTTCACTTTTCACAAGGATCGCCCACATAAGGTTGAAAATATTAAACTCACAGAAAGAGAACAGGTACTCTTTGAATGGAACAAGTTTCCAATCTTATATCAGTAATTTTATTATAAGGAAAAAAGAGATTATACATGATCATTAGTAAACATGATACTATAATGACATTTATATAATGTACTGCATTACTTTATTGCAAAGGTTCTCTTTCACATAACTTGCTTTCATGCTGACAGTTCTTGTGAAGCATAGGGTAAAGTATAATGAGGATAAAAGTCTTGGTGATAAATGCTGATGTGTTTGGCAGTCTATGTAAGGTGTTTAGGGTAGCTTTAGGGGGTCTGAAATCCTTCCTTGGCACTAGTACTGCTTTTATTCATTCATTCACTCCTTGAAAGAGGTAGAATGGTGGAATGGAATCTTGGAAAGGTAGGCTAATGATATATCTTTTGATACCCACAGAAGCGGCTGGTGCAGTTGGTGGACGTGTTCAGACCCCCGTCCGTATATGTGAAACATGTTTGTTACATCGACTTTACCATGTCAGTATCACCTTCAGTAATGATACCTACTACCACAACTACTAGAGTAATGTATTAATAACTTCTTTCTTTCAACACACCAGCCGGGCTGTGGCTCGTACGTTGGTTTGTGTGCAGCCAGCAGTAACAGCCTGGTTGATCAGGCTCTGATCCACCAGGAGGCCTGGTCACAGACCGGGCCGCGGGGGCGTTGACCCTCGGAACTCTCTCCAGGTAAACTCCAGGTATCCCACCAAGGCAGGGTGGCCCAAAAAAGAAAAACGAAAGTTTCTCTTAAATTTAGTAATTTATACGGGAGAAGGGGGTTACTAGCCCCTTGCTCCCGGCATTTTAGTCACCTCTTACAACACACATGGCTTACGGAGGAAGAATTCTGTTCCACTTCCCCATGGTGATAAGAGGAAATAAACAAGAACAAGAACTAGAAAGAAAATAGAAGAATACCTAGAGGGGTGTGTATATATATGCTTGTACATGTATGTGTAGTGTGACCTAAGTGCAAGTAGAAGTAACAAGACATACCTGAAATCTTGCATGTTTATGAGACAGACAAAAGACACCAGCAATCCTACCATCATGTAAAACAATTACAGGTTTTTGTTGTACACTCACTTGGCAGGACGGTAGTACCTCCCTGGGCGGTTGCTGTTTACCAACCTACTATCTAGGTATTAATAACTATGATGATATTTTTATTAGGTATCACTGAAGGGGACTTTTGAGTGGATACTCGAATAGGGCATAATAATAATAATAATAATATAATCAAATTAAGCACTAAAGGAGAACGGAGTATAAAACAAACTCAGATCTCTTGATAATGTAAGATCAGTAGTGGAAGTAATAGCACAGGTGTAGTAGTAGTGAATTAGTAATAGTAGTAGTGGTACAGTACTACTATAAATACCAGATGCTGTGGGTGTAAGATATTCTGATAGGCTAGATTATAGATATTTTCTGGCTTATAGGTTTACACTATTTCCTTTACCATTTGTTAGCAAAGTAATTTTGTGGTTATATTAGACTATTTATCTGTTTCATCTATATTCCTTTATTACATCTTTCATGCGTGATTTTATTTTTTCTCGTATACATTACTCCACATTTCATATTCAAAACTAGCATTGGACAGAATTATTTTATATATATATAATATAGTTAAATTACAGAGGTAAATAGAAAAAATTGGTCAGTTATTGCAAAGATCCCCCTAATCACTTCTGGAAAACTCAAGTCTTCGAGCTTTTGCTCCATAAAAAATTAAAAAAAAAAAAAAAAAAAAAATCACCTTTTCCAGATTTAACCTGACACAGCCTCTGTATGTAAACATGGTGCGTGACCCCGTAGAACGTGCCATCTCCTGGTACTATTATGTTAGAGCTCCCTGGTATTTTGTGGAGCGCAAGCAAGCATTTCCAGAGCTGCCTCTTCCCTCTACTGCCTGGCTTCGAAAGGTAGGTCTGGGAGTTGACAAAATGGCATGATGTAACCAGAGAAAAGACTTGCATAATATTGTGTGATAGTACAGTACATCTATAGATTTTTGTCTTCCTCTCTCTATCTATTCAGTATGATTACATCATAAGCTTACATAACAGAGTGGTAAACTTTCCAACAAATGCACTTGTTGTTCACTGGAATCCTTTATTGACAAAATTCACTTATCAAATCACACACATCTGTAACCGCATTTACCTCTCTTTATCACTGTGGCAGTATCTAATACTGTTCCTGATTCACTAAAGAACAATTATTTCAGTTTGTTGTACAACACCTTGCATGCCTGGACTCATACTGGCAAAACTGACTTACCATAAAATATTTTGATTATATTGTTGGTAATAATTTTTATATAGTATCTGTCACTGACATATTCCTCCAGGATTATGAGACATGTGTCCTGACCAACGATAAAGAATGCCAGTACATAGAAGGGGATGAACGGCCAGATTTTGCCCAGCTTACCGAGTTCTTCTGTGGTCAGGAGAAGAAATGCACGTATGTCATTTTGATATTCTCATTACACAGGATGGGTATCTAGCATTTACTTTCTTAATTGGTGGGTGTGCATGTGATAGTCTGATAAATTAGACACACGTGCAACTCTTGGGCATCTTTATTAAGGAAACGTTTCGCCACACAGTGGCTTCATCAGTCCATACACAGGAGAAACTTGAAGAACAGGAGAAGAATGAGGTAATCAGTCCCTCAACCTTGAGTCTATGTGGTCAGTCCATCATTCAAGATTGATGGACTGACTACATCGACTCAAGGTTGAGGGACTGATTACCTCATTCTCCTCCTGTTCTTCAAGTTTCTCCTGTGTATGGACTGATGAAGCCACTGTGTGGCAAAACGTTTCCTTAATAAAGATACCCAAGAGTTGCACATGTTTAATTTATCAACGTGTCGGTTCTGTGAACCATTCATCTACAATGTGATAGTCTGTATGCAAGTGGATACATGAATTTTCCCATTTGCTGAAAACTTTGAATCAGAATTTTTTCACAAGCTCTGATTTCCATGTACGAATGTTCGTGAAACTCGTTCACACTGTGATGTCCGTGTATGTTATCCAGCAAGTCAACTCTTGAATCTCTGTAGTGAAAAATGTTTCATTTTTGGGTCACCACTAATGAAAAAGAGGTGGAATGTGATGTCAGCACACTTCCAGCAAGACAGATTGAATGACTGATGGTGAATATGTTTCCCTTATCTTGTTGGGAGACAGCTAATAAGTTAAAATTAAAAAAAAAAAAAAAAAAAAAAAGCCATGTGTACCCAGAGAACTCTAAATAAACTACTTTAACTAAATTCAGGTAAAATTGGATGAGAATTGGTTTGTGAATCCTGTGCTCTGCCTTTGGGTCATGTTTACAATACAAAAGTGACAGCCTGTCTTATTCAGGTAAAGTCTGCATGAGTCACCACCAGTAACAACACAAGCAGAGATCTAGCTCTTGTCCCTTCAAAGCCAGCATCAATATACTCAGTCATAATGGATGACACTGACTTTGAAAGGCCAAGTATTAAATTTCCACTTGTGCTGTTGGTAGTGAGGGAAGATGGCTTTAAAAAACTTGCAGATAGTGAGTCTTGCAGACTTTACCTAGAAAAAACAAGTTGTTGCTTTCTCATTCTGAGAAATAAGACCCTGAGATAGAGCACAGGATTTGCAGACATGAAGCCTCTGTTCAATTCTCATCCAGTTATTTGTGATGTAAATGTATTTTATCTTTTCAGAGGCTTCAACACAGAATATGCACTGCAAAAGGCAAAGGAGAATGTGGAGAAACACTATGCTGTAGTGGGTGTGCTCGAGGACCTAAACATAACACTCACTGTTCTTGAGCATTATATTCCCAAGTTTTTTAGAGGAGCAAAGCATCTGTACTGGAGTGAGTACCAAGACCTTAATTTTTAACATACTTCAATATATGAAAGTCTTTTCCTGTTTGTACATACTCTTTTGTATGTATATTTTGAATAAAGGATTCTATGTAATATTGAGATATGCAGAATCAAGCCTCCACCAGTGTGCTGAATGTCCCACAAGGGTTTGTCACTTAACACGTGTATGTAATGTGTATGTATTTTTTACTTTATATGTAGTGTTGGTAATTCACTTTTTCATAAGCTTGCACATCAAGATAGTAAGAAAACAAAAATTCAAAACAAAACTCACTATACATTAAAATCATTTGAATAACCTGAAAATTCTGTTGTATTAATTTTCTTAGAGTAAATAAATTCTTTGACTTTTATGAAGTTTTGTATGGATACTATAATGAACAGTCATATTTTAAGGAGTTTCAAAATGTTAAACATTTTTTAAAAATAATTATTTATTTTCTATCAAAAGATGAGGTGCAGAAATTCAACAAAATCAACCGGAACATCTATAAGCCTCCCGTATTAGAGAAGATCAAGGATATAGTAAGGAAAAATTTTACTAGAGAAATAGAGTTTTACGAATTTTGTAGAAGACGACTTTATATGCAGTATGCTGCCCTTAAGCTTCCTGAAACACTGGAATAGCACAACATTTTACAGCACCTTCGTTATATATAGTGATATAGATATTTTATAAAACAATTAGTACATATGCCATATGTTATTCCTGTGTTAAAGACAGGAAATCCTTGGATTATCAGTATCCTCATAGCCAAAAGCAAGACTGTGTAGAAATATGCTGTGCATGCATTGCAAAATTTAGTACTAATTACTGTGTCTACATTTACTCCGACATTTGATTTTTTAAATCAAATGAAATACATTTTATAATTAGCACACCTTATTGTAAATTAACTTATCATTATAGTAGATGGTTCACCTTTACTAACCATAAATATATCTAACCTATCCTGGGTTAGATGGAGTAAGCTTATTTTGCCACATCAGGTCAAGTAGTTTTAAATATTTCTTGTACTACTTGGCACTTTTTTTAAACTTTTAAAAGTTGACCTCGAATCATATTTTATCCAGTCTGTTAGATAACTGAATTTAACTTGCACAGTGTTATGGTCTGGTAGGATTCTATTTTAAAAATGATGCTTATTACAACCCAGGGACAATAAGGCCTGTTATCCTGGGTGTAAATGGGAGCAAGGAGCAGAACAAACACAGAACATAAGAAAGAAGGAACACTGCAACAGGCCTACTGACCCATGCGGAGCAGGTCCATGTCCCCCCCCCCCTGGATTAGCCCAGTGACCCACCCAGTCTGGTCACCTCCACTCAAGGATGGAGCATTGCACCAAACCCAGCAGCACAAGCTAGTCAGGTCCAACTCACACCCACTCGTGTATTTATCTAACCTATTTTTAAAGCTACACAACGTTTTAGCCTCGATAACTGTACTCGGGAGTTTGTTCCACTCATCAACGACTCTATTACCAAACCAGTGCTTTCCTATATCCTTCCTGAATCTGAATTTTTCCAACTTGAAACCATTGATGCGAGTCCTGTCTTGGTTGGAAATTTTCAGCACGCTATTTACATCCCCTTTATTTATTCCCGTTTTCCATTTATACACCTCGATCATATCCCCCCTAATTCTACACCTTTCGAGAGAGTGCAGATTCAGGGCCCTCAGTCTATCCTCGTAGGGATAGACTGACATAGGGATAGCTGAATGACTTTGAAATATATTTTTCTTCACCAAGAGCAATGTGGATATTTACAGATATGTACACTGTATACAGTTGGAAAATGTATGTGTACAACACGGTTTAGGCAAGGCCAAGACACAGCCTGGAGACAGAATGAACAACCGTGCTCAACCAGCTCTAGTATGGAAATGACAAGGGTAGACAGGCGGGTGGTGCCCACAACACCTCTACGATTGCCAGTCCCATCTTCTTGAAGTTTGATACTTATAAGAGTACGAAGCTGCGCAACTGTGAGAGTGCGTTCATAATCAATGCCAATGGAACGAGCAATTTGCCAGCAACACTGTAGAGAAATTTAGACAAGTTTAATAAAGTGTATTCAGACACTAGACGTCTGACTCATCTTGCTGGCATACCCCAACGTAACACGCTATTTGCAATACACGCTTAGCTGTGCACAGTACTACTGCAGAATACAGTTGCCCCTCAGCCAACGGCGGCATCAACTGATGCCAAAATTGACTAATGGCCCTCTTTGGCGTCAAAAAATTGGTTCTACCAACGTCTAAAGGCTTTCATCCCGAACGCATCCATGTGGCCTGAGCGGGCCTAGCCACTCCAAGACTCCATGTACAGCCAGTGTGCCAGTATTTACAAGCTGTTTCAGTCGATCCCACGTGTACCAGTGCTTTTAGTGCTTGTAACCACTTAATAAGCCACCATGGGCCCCAAGAAAGCTTCTAGTACCAAGCCTGTGGTAAAAAGGGTGAGAATTACAATGGAAATGAAGAAAGAGATCATTGAAAAATATGAAAGTGGAGTGCGTATGTCTGAGTTGGAAAGGCTATATAACAAACCCCATTCAATCATCACTACTACCTTGGCGAACAGAAAGGCAATCAAGGAAGCTGTTGTTGCAAATTTTATCCTGTCACAGCTTTTGCAAGCCGTATTGGCAACACGTACAATGATACTCTTGTGTCCCATTTTCGGGAAATCCTAATGGCACGTGAGAAACAGCTTTCTGGACAGATATTTTGTCCGACGGGTCCAGTGATTCTCAAGCTGGTCCTAGTGGCATTAAAAAACTGAGAAGGGAGGTAACCCACCAAAGGACTTGGTACCTGAAGTCTTTATGAAAGGGGATCCCCTTCCAAACAATAGAACACTTGAATCTCCCCTGCTGCTGGCACATCACTCATCAACAACTCCACAGTAAAGGTAAGTGACATTTAATTATTGTTTATTTTGCATGTACCATTCGTTTCTGAGTAGGGAAATGTATATTTTGTGTAAAAATTTTTTTTTTTGTTTAACCCTTTGAGGGTTTCAGACGTACTAGTATGGCTTACGACCCAGGGTTTTTGACGTACTAGTACGCCTAAATTCTAGCGCCCTCAAATCTAGTGGGAGAAAGCTGGTAGGCCTTCATATGAAAGAATGGGTCTATGTGGTCAGTGCATAATGAGAAAAAAAAAAACTTTGACCATTTTTTTGGAATAAAACAGCGACTTTGCACTGTATTTTCGTATGGTATTTATTGTTGTATTCTAGTTTTCTTGGTCTCATTTTATAGAATGGAAGACATATTACAGAAATTGAGATGATTTTGACTGGTTTTACAATGAAAGGTATCTTGAAATTGAGCTCAAAGTAGCAGAAATGTTCGATTTTTACCAAATTTCAAAAGTAAACAAATCGTGCCAAGCGTGCAATACACGTCAACTGGTGAGTCTAATATTCTTTCACAAGTGCACCAATAATATTTATACCATTTTTTACACTAATGCAGTAGTCTGCATAACAGTAAATCTTATATTTTTTGTGAGAATAAAAATTCAAAGTGGAAAGCAAAAGACTAATGACTAGAGGAAATGTCATTTTAGTGCCAGGAATGTCTTTCTTGTTTATTATGGACCCTATTCGGAAATTGGCAAAATTGCTAAATTCTGACCACTGTACTGGATAGTTGAATTTCATAAATTGGTGGTTTCTTGCACCCATTCGATAGAAAAAATGGAGTTCTAGCAAAATATTCATGTTTTTTGTCCACTAGTACAGTGGGATTGGCTGAAAATGGGGCTCAAAGTGGGCAAAATCGCCAATGCATAAACATCACCGAGACCGCTAACTTTGCGAGAGCATAATTCCGTAAGTTTTCCATCAAATTTCAAACTTTTGGTGTCCTTATGATCGGGAAAAGATTCTCTATCTTTTCATAAGAGAAAATAATATTTTTTTTTTAAATTTAGCCGACCTTGAGAACGAGTTTCGGATTATTATTATAATAAAAAAGAAGCGCTAAGCCACAAGGGCTATACAGTGCTGCAGGGTAGGGAAGGAAGCGAGGGTATTGGATGGCAGAAGGGAGGAGGGATGATCAGGTTACAGAAAACAGTGAGGCAGGGGATAGTACGGGGGTAGAGGGTAGCAAGAGATTGAAGTAGAAAGGGCTGAAGGTATCAGAATTTGTGAAGTAAGTCAGTTGTTGTCAAAAAGTCAATGAGAGAGTCCGGATGAAAGGTGGGTCCATCAGCGAGAAGGGAAGGTAAAGAGACAGTAGCGGAGCGAAGACAACGACAGAGGTAAATTCTGCGTGCTCGTTGATAAAGTGGGCAGTCCAACAGAATGTGGCTGACTGATAATGGAGCTTGGCAATTCTCACAGAGAGGAGCAGGACGCCTCTCCATGAGATATCCATGAGTAAGACGAGTATGGCCAATGCGAAGATGGGAGAGAGTAGTCTCCCAACCTCGACACTGGTTAACGAGTTTCGGAGATGGCCTGTCGACCCTCAAAGGGTTAATACTCTTAGGTGTCTGGAACGGATAATTCTATTTCCATTACTTCTTATAGGGAAAATTAATTTGACTAAAGGCTAGCTCTTTGGAACTGATTAAAGCCATTGGGCGAGGGTCCAGTGTACTTGTACCACAACATAACACGCTATTGCAATACACGCTCTGTGCAGAGTATGACTGCAGAATACGCATATACAATAGCAAGGCTGATACACAATAGCAAAGCCGACTGCAAAATATTCACACAACAACAAGATTGGCCATAGCAAAGTGAGCACAATGAACAAGCTAATAGCAAGCTGTCAACGATCATACAATAGCTGGCTGACTATAAAACGCAAGGCTGACACGCAAAGTTCCATAAAGCGTTGGCAAAGCTGACGCAATGCCAGATAGCAAGCTACACAATGTTCTGCTTCTTGCTCCCCTTTACACCCAGGATAACAGGCCTTGTCCCTGGGTTGTAATAATGCTCAACTTTAACTTGTGTATATTCAACTATATACCAAGGTTTATACCATATTCAACTATATCCCAACAGTGTGTGTAAATCAATCTCTGACATTCTGCTATAAAATTGTTTTTTATCCTTTATATATCTTTTGGCTTAAAATATTAGTCTTTTAACCTCAACCTATGCTTAGGTAAATATGGTGAATATGGATATAAATTTATTCACTCAAAATTTGTTGGGGAAAAGATACGCAGTATTAAAAATGTTATTTTTAAATGTGTATTTTGTGGCACAGTGCTATCTTTATGCAATTTTGAAGTAACCTTGTACAGTACTAGTTATTAGACACAGTATGTATAGAGTACTGTGTATTATTTCCACAAAAAAAATATACTAACCCTTACAAACAGTGCTCTATGAATTGTTTAATTCTTGTAGTCGGGGAGAAGCACTAAACCTGTGAGGGTTTTATAATATATACATGTATATGTATTATTGTAAACACGAGCGAGTGGTATTTAATCAATAACACTGCGACTAGCCGGGGGATGGAACCCATGTTTTTAGCCCACCTCGTGGTGAGCAAAAATTCACGACGCTTTAACCCACTGGACGATCCAGTCCTACAAAGATCACGCACCCAGCAGAGCTAGGTGTTGTACCGTGATCCAAGGTCATACAATGGTGTGGGTGCCTCCGAGCTAATTTCATTTTACTCCTCATTGGGTGTACTTGCCTCTACAAGCAGTATATACATGTATAGTATGTATTGTAACCACGAACAAGTGTGGAGTAGAATGAAATTAGCTCTGAAGCACCCACGCCATCGTATGTCCTCGGATCATGGTACAGTACAACACCTAGCTCTGCTGGGCGCATGATCGTTTTAGGATTGGATGGTCCAGTGGGTTAGTGTCATGAATTTTTGCTCACCACGATGTGGGCTAAAACATGGGTTCCATCCCCCAGCTAGTCGCAGTGTTGCTACTGATATATATATACGTATATGTATATATATTAGTGCTTGGGGAATGGGAGACATTCAGGTTCAAGCCATGGAAAAGAATATTTCCAGTTCTTTGGATCAAGATCCCCTTAATGGGACTGTACTGTATAATGTAATTCTCAGTGGTCCTTACCTAATACAAATTGGATACAATGTAATATTGTACAATCTTTATTGATATCTGTCAATTTCACTGTTGTTGTCTTGCATTACTATGTTTATATAAGCATTTTTATGAAACAGTTGAAACTGGTAACTTTTTTAATTCTTCAGTTTTATGAACTGAATTTATTGAATTTCTCAGTGTTATAAATTATGGATATACAGTGGACCCCCACCTTACGTTAAATCCACCATACGATACATTTTAATGCAAAAATTTTGCCTCGCCTCGCACGATTCATCCGAGATGCATCTCACGTGTGGCCTCAGCTGCCAGCCAGTGAGGTTGCATCCATGCATACAATCGGAACATTTCATATTATTACAGCATTTTTAGTGATTGTACCTGCAAAATAAGTCACCATGGGCCCCAAGAAAGCTTCTAGTGCCAACCATGCGGTAAAAAAGGTGAAAATTAGTATGGAAATGAAGAAAGAGATAATTGTTAAGTATGGAAGTGGAGTGCGCGTCTCGGAGCTGGCCAGGTTGTATACCAAACCCCAATCAACCATCGCTACTATTGTGGCCAAGAAAATGGCAATCAAGGAAGCTGTTCTTGCAAAAGGTGCAGGTTTGTTTTCGAAACAGAGATCGCAAGTACTCGAAGATGTTGAGAGACTGTTATTGGTGTGGATAAACGAAAAACAGATAGCAGGAGATACCATCTTTCAAGCGATCATATGTAAAAAGCGTGGGAAATACGTACTATCGTACCACGATCAGCTGCTGCTGCACCACGGTCAGCTGTTGCTGCACCAGTCAGCTGTTGCTGAACCACAGTCAGCTGCTGTTGCACCACGGTCAGCTGTTGCTGCACCATGGTCAGCTGGTCCTAGTGGCATTAAAAGAAGGGAAGTAACCCCGGAAAAGGACGTGCTACCTAAAGTCTTAATGGAAGGGGATTCCCCTTCTAAACATTAACAACTTCCACACACTCCCCTCCTCCTATCCCATCAATCACCACCAGATCTTCAATAAAGGAAAGTGTCAGTTTGTGTGTATTAAAATTAATATTTCATGTGGTAAATTTTTTTTTTCATACTTTGTAGTGTCTTGCACGGATTAATTTGATTTCCATTATTTCGTATGGGGAAAATTAATTCACCTTACGATAATTTCAGCATATGATGAGCTCTCAGGAACGGATTAATATCGTAAGGTGGGGGTCCACTGTTTTGTTACTTAGAATATTATCACAAGGAAATGCTATTGTTATATAGAATATATAGTTATTGTATACATGGTGAGGGTCTGTGATACTATCCCCCTTCTCACCTTTTCTTGAAAGTCTTGTAGAATTAATCATTAAAATAATAATTTTAATAATCATCATTTGAATGCATTGTTTAGTTATTGCATTATCTTTTGTATGCATTATTAAATAATTTTGCAGTTTCCTTGTATATTAATCTGTATTAGCTGTTTTCCTAGTCTGTTGGTAACTGTATTGTTATTATTCAATCAATGTATTTTTATCAGTGGTCATTATTCTCATTTTTCATTATCATTTCTCTAATTTCCCCAGTATTATAATTCACATTTATTATCTGGACAATTTGTTCATTATTTTCATAAATACATTTGCCACACAAGTACATTATGCCCATTCATTAGTTCACAAACAGAATTTTCTATAAAATGTTTTTTAACTTTTTAACCCCTAAGTACTGTATAGGTGTATGCTTAAACTGTACAGTGAACCCTCTAATTAATGGACTTAAGAGGGACTGGGTGTACGATATTGCCAATTGTCCAGAACATCTGGATCATGAAATTAACATTTAATGATGGTAATAAATGGACAGGATTTTGAAGCAGCAGACCAAGTCCACCGATTCAGAAGACAACTCAACATTAAGAATGTGAATATGGTAATCTGTAATATTCCAGTACAGAACCGCACTGTATAGTAATTTTCAAGTATTGTATGTAATACGTATACCTTTTTGTGGTGTAGAGATGTTTAAACTGCCATAATCAATAGTGTTGACTTGGAATAACTTTCATTGAGTCAGTGGAGCTGTAAAGCTCTGCTGGTAAAAATGTAGATGGCAGAGAAGACGTGGATATCACACTTTCTTAACGCTATATTCCTCACACATCCGTATGACTGAGACACCAATTATAATAAAAAAAAAGGGGGCTAATCCTACAAGGGTCATACAGTACATCAGGGCAAGGAAGGGCGCAGGGGTATTGGGTACTGAGACATCAAACTAAGCCTTCTTTGTTAATTTAAGTTTCTGCATAACACCAAGAGCTACACGTTTACTTTTGGCACCACCACTTGCTTTAGAAGCCATTTTTAATTGCACTCTGTTAACATAGTCACACAAAACACTGTAAACCCAGGTAAAACCTAGAGAATGAATGACGAATGTAGGCACAAGTAAGCACAAACAACAAACTGGTGCAGGCAGCCTGTAGCTCAGGAAACAGAGAAAACGGACGGGTTTCCGGGAAGGTTTTCTGCCCCTTTTACGGGACAAACACTTGAATCATCAGATTTGGTCCAGTGATTCAGAAACAACGGGATTTTTTACCCGCTACAGATAAAAAATCCAAAATTTTTGGGCTATTTCCTTTTTGTCCAAGGATGCAACTTTTTAAAATTTTAGGAAATCCATTTCCCGGAGGTCCTTTAAATAAGGGGGTTTTTACTTAAATTGTTTTGGTTTTATTTTGTAGAGAAATTCTGACCTATAACCTTTTTCAAGGGGGCCCCTTTGGCGTGGTAAAGAGGTTTTCTTGGGTCTAGGAATTAGACCTATCGGTTTCTCTTCCTCAGACCGAACCAAATTTACCCCCCAATCTCCCCTCCCCAACCCCATCCCCCCCCTTTTTTTCCTTTTCCCTCCTCCTCCCCCCACTCCCCCCTTTTGGGGGCCCTTTTCCTCTTTTTGTCCTTTGGGATTGCCCCACAGGCCGCTAGTTCCAAGGTGGGGGAAAAGGCCCACCGGGGTCCATCCCATTCCTTGAGGTTTTTTGGGCGGTGGCGATTTTGCCGGGGAATCGGGATTGCCTAGGGATGCCCCCGATCCCTCTCCGGTATCCCGGAGTAGCTTTTGGGGTGTTTTTTGGGGCGAGGGGTTGTATCTCTGGAACCCAAACCTTTTTCCGGTTTCCCGGGGGGTTGGGGGCTGAAGGAGGAAATGCTTTTGCGGAATCCGGCCCCCCTCCCTTTTTGTCCACCGAGGTAGCTGGGCAGATGTGGGGTTGCATTCCCAGTTTGGGCTGTTTACTGGCAAAAGGGGTAGGGTATGGCAGGGGTTTTCCATGCGAAATCTGCCTACTAGCGGTGTCGAGTCCTTTTGGGCGCGGAGGGAAAATTTCTGGCCCTTTCATTCCTCCTGGGAAACCTACCCCCCCGGCCCCCCCCCCCTTTTTTTTTTTTTTTTTTTTTTATTTTTTTTTTTTTCTTTTTTTTTTTTTTTTTCTTAAAAACAAAAAGAAAAATTAACCAAAACCATGGCACCCCTAGTCCTTTTGAACCTGGTCCCCCACCCCCCGGGGCCCCTTTTTGATCCCCGCACCCCTTTTCCTGACCCCCCCCTCGTTTTTTTGGCCCCCACTCTTCAGACTTTTCCTCATGCCTCTGTACCTATTGCCCTTCCCGGGGGTTTCCTCACCCCTTCGGGTACTGGGGCCCTTTCGACTGACTCCTTCGTTTATCAGACCTTCGCTCACCCTCTGCCCTATTTTTTCCGGGCCTCTCCCTCTACGGTGGGGCCCATTTTAAAATCGCCGACCCTTTCCACGTGGGAAACCAACTCGGGTTCCCCGCCAAAACAAAAAAACGAAAATTTTACCCCCCTGATGATATTTCCCCCCTCCCCCCTTCACCCTTCTCGTTCCCCTCAAAACGATCGACAACGCCCTTTCCCTCCCTTTTCCCCCGCTCTTTCAGCCCGGGAACAGTGGACAAAATTTCCTTCATTTTAACGCCCCAATTTCCCTCTACTGCCTATCTTTTTTGACCATAAAATTGGAAAGGCATTTCCTACGCCCATTTTGGGTAAAGATATTTTTTTTCCCATCTTTTAAGAGGGAAACCCGCATCAAAAACCGAAAAAACAAATGCTACCCGGGTTTTCGTAAACTCTCCTCTTTCCCATATAGAACTTTTCCGGGTCACCCTTAAAAAAACATATTCCCTCAATTCTTGTGGGGTTTTAACCTTTTTTCCTGCCCCATCCCAAAGTTCAAAAAAATTTTCCCAGCATGTGGAAACCGACATTCTAGAACAGCTGGAACTCCAAGATCCCCCCATCCTAAAGGGTAGAAAATTACTTTTCTTCCTCCCCGGGGCGGAGACATCCCCCTAGCAATGTGGCTCTTTTAAAATTTTTAAAACCAGCCGAGAATTTCCCATCCCTTTTATATGGGCAGGACATCGGTTACAAGTTCAAAAAGGTGTTTCCCTACACCACAACAGTGTAAAAATTGCTGGGTTTTTTGGCCACCCCAGCAAAAAATTGCAGATCTATCGCCGAATCCCCGTCTGTGGTCCCCGTAAAACCTTTTCTAATATCCCCTTGAAAATCGATCTCCCTCTTCCCTTTAAACTGCCCTTTAGGCTAAACCCTTCGTCTCCCCCCCGCCGTTGTCGGGGCAAATTAAAAACGGGGGGAAATCCTTACCTAAAAGAGCCCGAAGGTCTCCCTTATGCCATGGCGGGTTTCTCATCCCCCGCCTCCAAGGGAAAACCTCCCCGTTTTTCTTATTCCCGTGTTTCAAAACGCCCCCCACTTTGGTACCCCCAACTTCAAAAACCCACCTCTGGGGTTCCCCCTCTCCCAAATAAACTCCTTTAAAAAACCCTTTTTGCTGTCCCCCGGGCTCAAAACTTCCCTATTTCAACGCCTCAGTCTAACCCTCCCTTTTTTCGAGTTCTCTTTTAAACAACCCTTTCAGAAAAATCAAAGAAAACCCTCGTACGAAAACCTCCCCCCCAAAATTCGCCCTCTACTTCTCAAAAGTAAAAAAAAAGGTCCGGTAACACCTCCACCCATTTTTCCACCTCCCCATTTTACCCTCCCTGTCTCTGTCCCTATTTTCTCCCCCCCCCCTTCACTGGCTCATTTTACAAGTGCAGGGGTTTCACCCCCCTCCTCGAAATTTTCCCTTTCCTCCCCTTTTTTCCCTTTTCCCCCAAATTTTTCTTCCTCTTTTTTGCCACCTCCCCGGGTTTTCCTGTCCCCCTTCTGTCCCCTGCCACGTTTTCTCTCCATTTCCCCCCCTCCCCCTTTTTCCCCCCCCCCTACCGGGGAAACAGTCCAAACATTTCCAAATCTTTATTTCACCTCACCCCTACCTTTCCCCAATTTTGGGCCCCCATACGACATCCCCTGAATTCCAAAACCCTTTTGAAGAAAAATCTCTAATATTTTTGCAAAAGCCCAAAACCAAAAAGGGACCTAAACCCCCCTTTTCCCCCTTTTTCTCTCTCCTCTGCCCATACCCGCAACCCCTTTTCCCTTAAACAGCGCCCCTTTCCCCTTCGCTGCTTAAAACTTTTTCCCCCCCTGCCTCCGCTTTGGGGACTTTTCTAACCCTTCTGGCCCCGTAGGAACCCTTCCCCTGCGGTTTTTCAAGAAAATCTTTTTTTCATTCCCAAATAAAAGGGCCTTTTTTTACAGTGGAAAAAACGCGCCTCGGGGAAAATCGGGGTGAGCTTCAAGGGAAACTCTCCCATTTCCCCCTTTTGGTGTTTGTTTAAAACAGGAACCAAAATTACACTCTGCTTTTTATTTTTTTTCACACATCCCAGGCTATAATTTATTGTTTTTCTTAGATCCTTTTCCTGAGGGGCCTTTAATGAAAGTGCCCCTTCTTCCTTTCCGCACTGATAATTTCCCTACCAAACAACTATTTGTTCATACTTCGCTGCATTAAAACAGCACCCCCAAACCACTTTTTAAAGGTTTGGGATACGCTCTGTTCCCTTTAAATCTCTCTCCTTTTCGGGGATTATCTATTCCGGGTTTTCCCCTTCCCTTTTTTCGTCATTACCGCCACCGGGTTCGTTACTTTGGGGAATTTTTAAAGCCCCCCTTTCCCTGGGGGGGGTCCCCACTGTGAATTTCCCAGGGAAATTTAGTTTTGACTTTTCTTTTCCACCCCCCCCCTCCCATGTTTTAAATACAGGTACTCACACCCCCTTTTTTATTTTCCCCGGACTCAAACTCCTCTTGCATCGAACTCTCAGTTTTGCTCTTTCCCCCCAAACCCCAAATTTTACTTTTCTTTTGGGCCGTTCTCCCCGGGCTTACATGCCCGTGATCATTTCCCAATCATTCTTACTTCCCCTTCATAACACCACCTCTTCCACCCCAAAACCCGGCAATTTAAACGGGCAAATTGGAACCTTTACTCACACCCGACTGTTTTTTTTAAAAAGGTTTTCCCTTTTTCTCCTCCATCGATGACTTTTTTTCAAAAACCCCTTTTTCGCCTCCCCTTTTTCCAAAACCCCAGCTTCTCAATTTTATACCCCCAAAATTTTCGGGGAGGGTTTTCAAAATGCGTGCCTTTGGGGGTCTCCCCGCTTGTGCTCGTGCATTTCGTTTGAAAACCCCGCTGGGGGGAGGTACCGGTACAATAAAAACCCCAGAGCGACTTCCCTTGATTTTAAAAAGAAGGCGATCGCCTCGCCGGTCATTCCCCTTAACGCTAAACCACTTGCTGGCGAGATTAAGTCTCCAAACCCTCACCTCCGCTTTCCCCCCCATGAGTGCAT